ATAAACACCACCACTCATTTCAATCGCCATTATACCAATAACCTATACAATATGAAAACTTCAATCAGACTAAACATCAATCTCAAATAACAACTCACCATCGACAAACTTCTCTCGACGCATTGACAAATGATTTCACCTGTAACAACAACATATTTGTTTAACAAATGTAAAGATAATACCTGAACATAATGTAGAAGTTCACAATATGTCAAAGATTGTTCATCCAATTCAACAGCTAGTTTTTGTGGATGTTTCATTACTTGGTATACAAATTCATGATGAATACAAGTAAGAGGAGATGAAAATGATATTTGCGTATTATTCAATGATTGCATGAGTAATCTTTCATTTGGTAGCGTAAGTGATATTTCATAGATTGGTTTACTTATTTCATTATCGATAATAGATGCAGATAATTGATGTAAAATAAAATGAAATCGTTGAGATATGTTATCAATTGTTTCTACATTGAATAGGTCGAGTGATGCATTGATTGTGCATGAGAGTTGATTCATGTTCATATCATGATAAATAGAAAGAGAGAAGTCGGATACATTTAATATCTCATCTTCATTAATATCGAATGAGAAAGATGTTGGAACAAGTTGAGAATTACCAATAACTACTGGATTACTATTCTTGTATGATATAAATTCCAAAGATGTGTCCAAAAATGCATGTTTAGATATATGTGGATGTTGATTGAGAATACGTTGAAGTGGAAAATATGAATATTTCATACTATTTGTTGTTATCTGATGAACATGTTCGAGTAATTGATGAAAATACCAATGAGGATCTAACTGACATCGTAATGGAATAACATTCTCAAACAGCCCAATGATTGATTTGAGTTCATCTCTAGAACGATTATTATTGATGTTCATAGCAATACATAGATCTGTTTGTCCATTAGTTAGTTTAAATAAAAAGATGAAATAAATAGCAAATGTGAGATGTTCAAGTGATATGCTATCTGATGATGCATGAGTATGAAAGTGATGTGAGAGATCTTGATCAAAATCAAATGAAATCGATGTTGTATGACTCGTTCGATGCTCATTTGAGAGACGATATCGATCAAATGGTAATGATAAAGATTGATCGAGATGACAATTATGTAGAGCATCAAGCCAAAACATACTTGCACCAGTCATTGACATTTGTTGTTCTATAAAAGCATCTGAATAAAAAGAGAAATATGTTAGGAAAAGAAAAGATAAGAAATAGTGATATATACAATCAAGGTAACGTAATGTAGTATTATCATTATTAGATACTTGGCTGGTTGTATATGCTTGATTGAGATCATTAAGAAATATATTAATCGATGAAATATCGAATACAACATGATGAAAATTAAAGATAATCACATCTCGATCGGAAAGAAGATTATTAGAAGAGATTTCTTTGTAGTAAACAAGATGATATCGAAATACAAGACCTTGCGAAAGATCAAAATATTGAGTATTTTGTCGTTCATCATGCATGATATCGTTGAGTTGTTCATCTGTTTCATAAGTACTTTCAATCAATGTATATAATCTATTGTTGTTATCATTTAATTCATTGACTCTTTGCATGAGTAGATTCTTTTCTGTATCAAAGATTAATGATGTGTGAAGTGATTGATGTTTTGCAAGAACTAATTGAAGAGCGTTATAAAGTTGTTGAACTGATAAAGTACAGTTTGTGAAGAGCCGATATACAAATGGCATATTGTAAGCTGTTATTTGTGATTTGCCTGAATTGAAGCGAATTCGTTCATCCAACCAAATACGAGTTTGTGCATAGGATGCTGGTGCTGTAACAGTGAAACTTCCGTAATAATCCTTTGAAGAGGGGATTACTTTGAGGAAAAAAATGAACGTTTATAAAAGCTTAAAAGAATATATTCATTACAAAGGGAAACACGATTTTCGTCATAGACTTTTAGCAGCAACTATTTTCCTTAAACATAGTTTATAGAGTCACACACAGCATCATCTTGGGGGTGAAAACTGTGTCTGAATTCAGTAAATATCGTTTTGACTAACGTTTTAAGTGTACTGCAAAATCTATGTGGCCCCTAATTTCACCCATACAATAGTGAAGAAAAGGCCATTTTTCAATTTTATTGATTAATGAAATAAGCTGGAAACATTCAGAATCTCTATTCTCAACAAGCGTTAGTCAAAATTTACAAAACTTTATTAGTTTTATAATACTTTCTTTAGGCGTAATTCTCCAATCCATTGTTTTTCGGTTATTCAGCAACGTAATCATTTGTATTTTAAAATTTTTAATTATAGAGATCATATCTAGCTCTTTTCTCATGGTCTTAATTACACCTTCGATGTACTTCATCTAGACTGAGCTACACATTGACTTCGATCTCATAGAATTTAATTCAAGACATATTAGAAACATATATAAAAAATATTTCGAATCCATGTCTTTTTTATTGAAGTAATAGATAGGCATCACTGTTCTGATTTTTTCGTAAAATATTTTAAAGTTATATATGATTGATATAGTTAGTTTACCTCAGTAGAAGAACATTTAATTTTAATATTTCAATCTAATCTCTGTAAAAAATTTGAATTTAAATTTAGCTGCTCTTTATTTAAAACTAAAGTATTCTAACTTCTATCATTCATTCTATGATTTCAGTGTTCAGAATCTAAATCAATATAGAATGTATTCTACTACCTGACTATTTTCACTTGATTCATTCTATGTATTCAGTTTTCGATGGGTTAAATTGCTTAAAATAAAATTGTCAAAAATTTTATTAAAAAAAATCTCATATGTCAGCATATCTACCCGAATTTCATTACTATCTACTTAAAAATACGAAAAAATAGATAATCATACCTTCATTTGCAATAGTCGGTAATCTACGAAAGATTACTCGTTGCATTTCTTCAATCTCTTCAGGTAAAATAAGTGATAATTTGCTAATAGACATATCAGATTGTTTATACATTGGCTCATCAGTCATTGAGAAACCGAAGAGTTGTGCGAGCATATGTCGAAAACGATTTGCAAGTAGATCAACATCAGCTTGATTTTGGAATATATCGGCCGAACAATCGAGAAAACACTCCGTGCTTCGTGACTGATGATCATGAGCTATTGTGAATGACAAATCAAACAATGCTGTTCCATTACCATGAGATCGATCTCGATCAAAGTAGATGCCAAGAACAGAACCTTCGTCTGTAGTTGCCTCCGCTTTATTACTTTGTGATACGGATGACATCAATGATTCATAATGAAATAATGTTGAAGGCAATACCTGATGCCCTCGTTGATCATATGAATTAATAATATGCTGATAAGGTAAACAGCCATGTTCAAGAATGTTACTACTGAGCTGTTGTACCTTTTTCAGAAGGTGATCAAATGGCTTGTTCGGCTCAATTTTTGTTCGATACGGTGCAAGATTGACAAACATGCCAATCATGTCTTTTGTCTCTTGCACAAATCGATTAGCTATGTTACCTGCTACACACAAGTCGTCATCATTCATTAACTTGAATAAGAATGCATAATAACAAGCAAGTGATAAAGCAAACATGGTGGAATTATTTAAGGAAGCATATAACATCATTGCATCAACAACATGTTGATTGATAGAAAATGTAGTTGAAAAACCACGACCTGAACGAATCTGCTGGATATCTGTTTTGTCAGGTACCAATTGTCGTACTCTATTCCAGTCATAACCATCCATAACATTAGACCAAAACTGACGTGCCTTATTCATTTTTGAATCTATTCTTGTATCGTCTAGCATTGTCTGTTCGTATAATGTGAAATCGATATATTGTGGAGTCAATAATACTGGTTGTTGACGACGATCACTCCAACAAGCTTTTTTAAATGCTTCGATAAATGGTTTTAGTGAACTATTATCGAATGATATGTGATGAAATGTAATAGTCACAAGATCACCTTCAGATAATCGATGATCATATTCATCATTACTTCGTTGTATTATATGGCATCTAACCACCCTTCCTGATTCAATATCGAAGTGTTTTCCTATAGATTCATTTGTAAGTAGTCGATCGAGTTGGTCTAATGTACTAATGCCACGTGAATGCTTGAATGAATAAATATCATCAGTAGCGGCCTGAATGTATTGTTCGATTTCATTACTTTGTGGGTTAAAACGAACAGCAGTACGAAGAACACTATGTTGTTCAATTAATGTGAGTAAAATTGAACGAATACGTTCGATCGATAATGAACCTTGTTTAATTATCAATGGTGTCAAAATGTTGTAGACAGACAGATCGGAAGAATGAAAATAAAGTTGTTCATGAAGCCAGATTCGTTGTTGAACAAATGAGGCAACAGCTTTTATTCGTCCCGAAGTCGTAAGTTGTGGTTCTTTGTGCGCATTTGTTCCTGCTATTATACGCTTGCGTGAAAGCATTGTATAATAGAGAAATGAATTATTAATGTGAAATAAGTAGCTTAATACAATCTACAAATTAAAAAGAAGATGAGAAAAACTAAATAGATATTTCAAAATATGAAATAATAACAATGATCACATCATATGAGAGTGATATTATTATTAAGAGTACAATAAATCAATACACAATCTCTTAATAATACTACGAAATGAAACAAAAGAATTGATTGAGTAGCTATGATTTTACATTAGATAATAAAAAAATATTAATTTAATATTGTTAGTGAGTTGATTAGCTATTATAGATTTTCACAAAAAAATATTTTATCGAAGAAATTTATTATTATTAATTGTTAAGAAATCTACAAATATTAGTATACTACAATAATTGATATATATAAAATAGGTTTAGTAAATAATAATTGTGAATATGTTTAATTGTGAGCATCTAAAACATGTAATTGCGTATTAGTAATGAGTGAGTGTGTTTTGAGTTGTTTTAACATTTCATGAGCAATAGTTTCCTTCTAATACCTACTATTTGATAGGATCCACATGGTTGAATACAACTCATTTGTCTAATAAGATTTTAAGCATATGTAGGTATAGTAGATGAAGAAAGAGATGATAGTATTTGTAAAGCATATATATCATTTGATGATGTTTTATTTTTTTGATTAGATAATTTCTCAATAAAGAATTTAAATAAATTTTCATTATTATTATTATTATTATCATTTGATATTTGAGTAATACAAAAAAGAGTTGAAGTATTATTTTGATTTGAACGATGTAGACAAATGATATTTTCTAAACCAGTATATGTTGATGTATTAGAATATTGAGCTTCATTTTCATTAATCAACTCAAAATCTGAATCTTGTTCTTTTGTAGCTGATGATGTTGTTTGTTCTTTTTCATTAAGTTTATTATAAACAAGTATTGCAATTGTTTCAATTGAAAGTCCTTGAAGAAGATCAACTAATGGTATATAAATGCCAGTTTCTTGACTTAACCAATTAGCTAATGAAACAACAGCTAATGAATCCATACCTTGACTAACAAGTCAAAGATCAACGTTAGTTATCTCTAATAATCGTGCAACAGTTGATTGAGTTCGCTCAATAATAGTCTCTTTTTTATTCATAATAGACTCAGTTGAATTAGTTTTTCCTAATGATGATGATGATATTTGATCAACTATTTTTCTTAAATAAGATGTTGCTAATAATGAATAATTTCGATGTCATGTTTGCCAATGAACAGCAAAAATAAGAAGACATAAATAAATCTTTTGAGTTTGAATATAGTTACTGTTGGCATTTATTGAAAACCTTGTGTAACGCTTAAAGTACTGAGCATTTCTTTCTGATGATGAAACATTTCAGCCCCACTTACAGCTGGTAAACTAATTGACAGTACTGGTAAATTAAGTTTTGCAAAACGATAATGAGCAAGTGCATCAAGAAATTGATTATCAGCATTATAACCATCAGATGAAACTTCACGTAAATGATTTCGAATTGATGAAAACATAATAAAGAAATGAATAGGTGCATGAAGAAGTTGTGTAACTTGATGAAGATACCATGCACCACGAACTTTTGGTGGTAAAACAAGTGATAAATGTTCTTGTGTTAAATTATTTAAAGTACGATCTTCTGCAAAAACAGCACTATGAATAATACCACGAATAGGATAACAAGTAACGCTCGTCGAGCAAACTCGCTAGACCCTCGACTGATTGCGACTGGTGTACTCCCAAAAAAATCATGGAGACGCACTCTTTTAATCCCTTACACCATAGTTTGTTGAATAGTTTCGTGCTTTTCAGCGTTGTATTCAATGACTCGATGAATTCGCCTTAAAAATTTTTCGAGATCAGGCACGAGCATGTCCGTGAAAAATCTTGAGTGTGGGTGTGAGTATTTTACTACTCTAAGTCCTAATCGATATTTCCACACCCACACTTATATTCAACTACAATCACACCCACAATGACACCTCGAATCCATACTATTAGTACCTAATTCGACAGTTTTAGTACCCTACAATTCTCAATGGTCATTTTTATCATCCTTGATATCCGATCGATCAATTTTATGATTCTCGGTTTCTCACTGGTCAACAATTAACGCTCGTCCGAGGACTCGCTTAGTTCTTTCTCGTAGAAATGCTTTTTCTTCACCAATACTACAAAAAAATGAAAGCCGTGAAAATTGATTTTCGGTGTTTTTTTGACCTCACACCCACCCTCACCCACTCCCTTACCATAGTCACCCAACAGACCTCAGATTCGAACTCCCCGCATCGAAAAACCTCTAGAAATGTCTTTTTCGAAAATTCGATCTTCTATGTTCTTTTGACCCTGGCACAGACAGACAGACAAACGCATTTTCGTTTTTTCAGTATCACCCTCCTTTCAGTCGAGGGAACAAGTTTTTTGAAATCTTTCAATTAAATCATGAACTTGTTGACAATTTGTTACATCTGCTTGAACAACATCAACATGAGCATTATATTCTTTTGTTGTTTGTTTTAATTTTAACCAATCATCATATTGTGGATTTGAAGGTTGTTCAAGTCGAACTAATGTTCGACGACTCATAAGTGCAATATGTTTAACACCTCGTTGTTCAATCATCCATCGAGACATTGTTAAACCAAGACCACCAAAACCACCAGATATTAAAATTGTTCCTTGATTACAAACTTCTGATGGAAACATTGTATTATCACTTACAACTATTGATTAAGAAAAAATGAAAATATAAAATATGATGATTACCTTTTAATAAATTATTTGATTGATTTTGTTAATATTTCATAATTGATCAGATGAAGTCATACGAGAAATAGTTTTACCCATAACTTGACCACTATTACATCTTAATAATGCTTCTATTACTTGAGATGGTTCATAACTAACTGTTGGTTCAACAGCACGTAATTTACGTTGAGCAAATAAATCATTCGCTTCTTCTAACATAAGACGAATAAGAGATGATAGAGATGATCAGCTAGTGAAATAAAATCAATCGCATGAAAACTACAATCTGATCGTAATTGAAACATTGATAAATTATTATTATGATAAATATCTCGTTTGCCCCATTCAACAAAATTACCGTGATATTCTAATAATTTAATTGATTCTTTGAGTAAATTGCCTGATAATGAATTAACAATAACATCAACACCTTGTGGAAGAATTTCACGTATATTATTAACGAAAGAAGTATCTCGACTATTAAATACATGTTCAATACCATAATATTCACGAAGAAAATCTCGTTTTTCTCCAGTTCCAGCTGTAGCAATAACACGAGCACCAATATATTGACAATATTGAATACACATTTGACCTGCAGCACCTGTTGCAGCATGAATAAGAACAGTTTGACCAGCTTGCAAATGAACACGATATTTAAGAGAATAGATAACTGTTAAAAGTGGAGTTGGCATACCACATAATTGTTCATCGGTAAGAGGAGAATCAGATGGAATACGTATTATAAGTTGTGAATTAATCATAATATGAGAATGATATGCACCATCACCAGTAACACCTACAACATGATCACCAACTTGAAAATTAGTTGTTGTAGGACATGCACGTATAATAGTACCAACAAAATCTGAATCTGGTTCTGTATCTCGATCAAGTTTTGGTTGATTTTCATCAGATTGTGCAAAAGGACGCGTATGTGGATAAAGACTACGTGATTTGAGTACATCACGAAAATTAATACCAACACAATGAACACGAACTTCTACGATATCTGATGGTAATAATTCTTTTTCACTATCTTCTTCAATCCATGTTAATTCAGATAGAAAACGAGATTGTGGTACACAAAGACGAAATAATTCTTGATCAGCATCTCGTTTAGGAATAATAGAAATTTGTTCGAATTTAGATTTCTCTTCTTCATCACTATTTTGTAACATTTCATAATGCCATGTTAAATGTTGAACTTGATTTTGATTTGTATCATTAAGACGAAGAACAACTTCATAAGTATTAGTTGAGTATCTTGAATTAATCATATATTCTATTAAAGTATAAATAAATATTAATTTATTATTTAATGATATTGAAGATCAATAAGTTTTAATCGATGTCGTTCATATTCAGTTATTAAACTTCGTGCAAGACCAATAAATGGTGATGCAATTAAATTAAGATAAGAATCATTATTAAATTGAGCATGATCTGTAAGAACATATACAAATGGATAAAAATGTGGTGATGATTTTTGAATTGTTTGAAGAATAAGTGATAATGTTCCACATATAAGTTCTTCATTTTGTTTAAATGCGAAATTATCATTATTTTCATTCAATGATATTTAATCAATTTGTCATGCAAAAATAATTGATATTTGTTTCTAAGTTGTTAATAAAACTGGTATTACCGAACAAATAATATTTAATGTCGAATTTTGAATATGAAATATCTTTATTATTTTGATCATCTTTAGTAAATATTAACCATGATTGATTTTTTCTTTCATCAAGTCTTTGTAATATATCATTTGATATTGTTTTTTGACTAATAATTAATGTATTTTCATTTTGATTTAATGCTGATTCAATAATATTAAATCTTTGGATTTGTTCTAATAATGTTGTCCATTGTTGAATATTATTTAATACACGATTATTATCATGATCATCATCAGATGAAGATGACCACCATTGATCAATAAAACCAAAAATAAGATGAAAATAATGAGAAATATGAACTAATTCAAGCAATAAAGGAAGACCAGTAGGAACAAGTAAACGACGAAGATCAATTAAAGAATTTTTTTTGTCAAATCTTGATTTCCTAGAAATAGATTGGAAGAAAATATAATATCAAATGATTCCACTGGTATTTTTTCAAGTATTTTACTATCATATGAATCAATTGTTTCATCATAAATAATAGATAAATTTCTTTGATTAATTATTTCTATGTGTATTAAATGTTTGTTGAGCATTTGCAAGTTCTACTGGATCAGAATCTGCATAATGTAAATCGATTAATAAACCTGTTTGTTGTGATAAATTAAGAAAAAGATCAAGAATAGGTAAAACATCTGAACAATGACTAACACTTAACCAAAATATACATAATCGCCAATTCTGAAATGAATTATCTTTAGTTTGTTGTTGTTCATATTGTAATTGTAAATATTGACAAATCGAATGAAAAATTTGTTCAATTTCATCATCACCAAAAAATATACCTAATCCATTTTTTTCTCCACTAAGAATATCTTTGAAATGTGAACCATATTTATTCAATGTTATTAAAAATGGTTTTAAATGAGAAAAACGTTCAATTAATTGAATAAGACGAAGTTGTGTTGAATGCCATGTTACTACTTGTTTCGAATATAAAGTTGAAGCAAGAGAACGACATACATTGAATAATGGATGATGTATATGATTTAAATCAAGATCTTTAATTGCCATATGAGCATAATAAGCAGCTAATTCATTAAATGGTTCGATTGATTCAATTAAATCCTGATTACTAATAGAATTAAGTTGATTATTAAGAATATTTTTAGGTGATGGAAGTAAACCTGATATATCTTTTATTATTGGTGAATCAGTCCATACTCTTTTCATACAATAATCTTTTATAATTGTATTTAAATATGTTTTATGATCAATATTAGGTAAATCAGTTGTTAGATTTAATTTATCATAAATTATTTGTTCCATTGACCATCGACCAGAATGTGCACCTTGAACTTGTTGAATAACAGCACCTTCAAATGTAAATATTGGTTCTTCGATTTTATTATCCATTGGAAATGTCCATAAATTAAGATTATATATTTCTTCTTGGCCTATACCACATATATTATCATGATACTTTCCACGTACTTCAACATTTGTTGATCGATTCATCTTTGTTTTTGTTTTACTTGAATAAATAAATTTTTGAATACGTACAGGAAGAAATGTTGTTTCAACACCTGGTAATATAACTAGATATGGATGCAGTAAATAATAAGATGAACAATTATTATTATCATTTGATAATTGAGATATAATTGTAGTTGAAGTACCACGTTATGTTTTTATTTTTTCAAAACTACATGCATATTGATAACCACGTGTTGAAAGATGCGCATAAGCACTTGTTATATCTTGTGTTGACCATGTGTTAGGTATTGTTAATGATTTTTGTTGTTTAGAATCTATTTCAATTTTACCTTGTGCATGTAAAGTAAATTTATTTAATGAATATTTATTAAGGTTATCTTGATTGCAAAATATAATATACCATTCACGCATTGGCATAATTATTTGTGTATAAATACTTCAACTAATTCCTGTTCATTCAAAATAAGTACTTTTACAAATTTAACATCTTCAACAATAATTGTTGGTTGTTATTCATCATCTTTTGATGAAAGTAATTGATGACAAGCAGCTGTTGCAAGTTCAAGATAAGCAACTGCTGGAAAAGAATTGCATCTTGAATTTTATGATCTTTTAAGAAAGCATGCTGTGGTAAATTAATATTAATGAGACTTTTCCATGTTGCACTTGTTTGATCATTTAACTGACGAATACCAAGTAATGGATGAATAGGTATACGATTAGCTAAACGTGGTATAGATGAATCTTTTGATTCATACCAACATGGACTCAAATGAAATTTATATGATGGAAAATTATCAAAATATTCTTCGTGATTTTTCGTAGATAAAATTTGACGAGTATGAAAATATTGTTGCCATACATGAGATGATGTTGTAAGTTGTGCTAAACTAGTCAGTAATGTTATTTGTTCGTCTTCTTTTCGTTTTAATGTTGGAAGAATAAGTGGTGGTGATGATTGTTGTTGATTTGTTAATTCATAACATTCACGAATTGATTTTGCTAAAACCGGATGTGGTGAAATTTCAAGGAAAACATTTGCTGCTTCATCCTTTATAATTAATGTTATAGTATCATAAAATCGAACAGCTTCTTTTACATTGGACTATCAACTGGTATATTATCATTGATTTTATCATCAGTAACACTTGAATAAAGTTTTGCTTTTGCACATATCGAATTAAATATTTGTTTTTGATCTTGTATTGGAAGTCCTCAAATATCTTTCAAGGATGAAAGCATTTCTTTTTCAGTTTCAAATCGATTTATTTGATATGAATGAAATGCATTTTCAATACGAAGACGTGCTTTAAATACATTAGGATAAGAGATTGAAAGTATTTGTTGTATTTCATCAATAGTTTTTTCATCACCACTTATTGTTACTGAACGAGGACTATTAACAACAGCAATACAAGCCAAATGTTCAATATGTTTAAGAAGTTTATTTTCTACTTCTTCTTCACTCATTCAAACAGCTAACATACGAACAGTTTCTTTTAAACTTAAACGATCAGCAACAAAAGCAGCTGCTTGATCACCAGCACTATGTGATATTATAAATGATGGATATGTATTCCATGAAACAGGTAATACTGATAATGCAACTTGTATAGCAAATAATGTTGATTGAGCAATATTTGTATCATTAATACGAGATTCTTGTTCAGTTTTCTTTTCAATTAATTCTTCTAATAATCTCCATTCACCCTTATTAATTTTTGTCATTTCTCCATCAATTAAATTAATCCATTTAGTAAATAAAGGTTCACTTTCATATAATTGTCTACCCATAGACCACCATTGTGGACCTTGTCCATTAAAAACAAAACATATTTTTTGTGCTAATGATTTTATTGGACGTGATATGATTGAAAAGCCTGGTGACGCTTGTTCAGTAAGAAAAGCATTAATTTGTTCTTGTGATTGTTGATGACTGAGAAAAATCAAGATTGCTGAATGTGTATAACTAATAGTTCTTTTAAGAAGAAGTTATTGAGATATACGTTGAAAAAAAGCTTGATCATCATCATCATGTATATCATTAATTGATGATTAAGAGATTGACGACTTTTTTGCTAAATAAGAAGAAATAAAGTATTTATTAATGAAAAGAAATTAAGAACTTACTTGAAAAAATAAAAGTGAAATATTGTTTACTTTTAATGTGATATCCATTGATATGACCATTTGTAATTGATGTTTTATTTATTGGTTGATATTCTTCAATAATAGCATGTGTCGTTGTACCATCCATTCCAAATGAATTAACACCTATAGCTATTTTTTCATTATTTGGAAGAGTTGGAAATGGTATAAAATTTTGAAGAATATGTAGATTATATTTTTGTGCATCTATTTTTGGATTAAATGAAGTAAACTGCATATTTGCTGTAATACCACGATGATACAAACAGATAGTAACTTTAATAAGTGATGCAACACCAGCTGCACCTTCTGTATGTCTTAATTACTTTTAATTGAAACTAATAATAATAGTGGATCAAGATTTGATCGATTAAAAAATCGGCCTAAGTAATTTGCTTCAATTGGATTACCAACGAGTGTACCTGTGTACTATGTGCTTCAACAAATAATATTTTTCGAGTATCAAAATTATTTCGCGAATAAATATTTGCTAATAAGGGTCCTTGTCCAGCTGCTGATGGTACAAAAATATTTGTTTATCTTCATTTCCATCATACCCGCTAAGTACATCACGACTAACACAATAAATACGATCACCATCATATTCAGCATCATTCAATTGTTTTAATAATAGAAGACCAAGATCATCACCTAGAAAATTCAAATTTATTTCTAAATAGAAAACTAATCAATCGACTTTTTACCCTTAGTATAACCATTAGTATCAGCACTAAATGATTGACACCACATACAGTCATATCAGCTTCATTTGTACGAAGATATTGTACAGCCATATGTAAAACTCTTAAAGATGATAAACAAGTAACATCTAGTGATAAATTTGAACCTTGTAAATAAAAATGATATGATAAACGTGCTGATGCATTATATAATAATGTATTTGGTCCATGAAATCTTGATCGATGTTCAAGTCTCATACGAGTTGTTGCAATTGCATGATCTGTTGAAAATTGTCCAATATGTACTGATGTTTTTGTACCATTGATTTTGTCAATACTATATCCAGCATCATCAAGTAAATGAACAAATTTTAACATAAGTAATCGATGACATGGATCAACACTGCCTGCTTCAGCATCTGATAAATCAAAGAAACTTGGTTCAAACATATCCCATTGTTGATTTGACATAAAATAACCAGCACGAAGAAGTTTTTGAAGAAGTTGTTCATTATTATCCATATTAATCATATGAGCAGTAAATGATTCAAGATCAAATCGATCAATTGGTGTTGTACTACCAACATCACGACTTTCTTTTAATGCATCCCATAAATCATTAGGTGAATGAATATCACCTGCACATTCACATGATATACCTATTAAAGCTATTGGTTCTAATGATGTACTATTATTATTTATAGTTGCCATTAGTGTTCTTGATTAAATATTTTTTTTCTGGATTAAAAGAATAGAGTTTTATATCTAAAATAAAAATGATAATTTTTCAGATCAGTCAAAATTGTAGGTGAGCTTTTAACTTTAATTTCCTATAATAAAGTTAAATTATTAAGTTTTTTATTTAACATTTAATAGTTTGTATTAATAAAAAAAACGAACGAATGGATGTGATTATTCATGCGTGTTGTAATTCAAATTTGATAATACTATACTTTTGAATCTAAAACTATTTTTGTTTATGAACTAATAAACAAAAATGAGATATTAATATAAACTAGAACAAAATAGTACTGTTCATAGTAAGCAAAAAAATATAGTGAGTACACTTACGTGTAGTTTGTTATTTCAAGTCAAAGTTTAATTTCAGATGGTAGACATATTTGTTGTTGCTAAATGCTTCAGATTAATCTGACCTTCGAAGAACAAATGTACTCAATCAATAAAATCAAAAAAAACTATTGCGATTCAATTTACAGTCATTGTTGAATTCTTCCAGATTACTTGGTTCTTAATGATTTCTAATACTCCCAATAAGTAAAATCAGGAAAACGAAAAAATAAGCAAATTTAATTTATAATATCATTTCTTTTCGCCATAATAGTCATTGTCGGATTCTTCAGATCAACCTAACCTTCAATACGTAATAAATATATTTGATAAAAAAAAATAAAGAGAAATACCCAAATTCAGTTCATAATAACTTCCATTTTTACCATAGTACCCATTACTGGTTTCGTTGGATTAAGATGACCTTCAATGAATAATAATATATGTACTCAAAAAACAAAATAAGGGACAAATAAAAAATACCTTAATCCACTTCATTATATCAACTTTTTTCATTGTCCTAAGCGTTGTTGGCTTCCTTCGATTAAGCTGACCTTCCATGAACAATAATATATTCAATTAATAAAATCAAGAATAGTAATAAAAAAAGATGTCCAGATCTATTATGGTGGTCCTGAATTAACAAAAAAAAAATATACTAAATACGTGTCATATATATATCAATCAAAATAATACTGTTCATTTTCACCATAATTACCATGACTTTAGTCTTTAGGATGTCGTGATTTTGTATGAAGAAGTACATACTAAATACATAAAAGAGATGAAAAATAAAGAATAAAACGATATGCTACACAAAATTCATTGTTTGTACTGCATATACCATTGCTGCAGTTTTTAGACTATTTTTTATCTTAGACCAACAGAAATAAAACGTTAACTTGATACATTGTATAGCATCTTGTTTTTGAGCTGTAGTAACGGACACTGAACCGTTCAGTGAGATGAATTTGAATAAACGAGAGATGATTGAGGAAAGTAGATATATAACAAGTAGAAGAGTATCTTAATATACAGTAATGATAATTTAAAAGATAATGATAGGTGCCTGAAACAGATAATATCTTACTGTATTATTTGGATGGATGAATGAAAGAGTGTATAAGACAATACGAAAAATAAATTTTTTTTTTATATACGACCTGCTTCAGCTAACCACAACTTGTATGAGTGATATTAACATACGATTAAAAAGTATGACAACGACATATCTATGCTTAATTATATGAAAAGAAAAGCACATGTAGATATACAAAAAGGTGTATTGGAGAAAAAATAGTATAGGATAAATATGAATTAAGAATATCGATAGAAAAGTATTTAAGATAAATTAAATTGTGTTATTTACATTAATTTAAATAGTTATATCATTCCAGTATTAACTGATAATATTGTCCAGTTTATACGATGTTTTTTTTGACGATAAAATATAGAATTATTTATTTAAAAATGTGTAGTTTTATTGAAGAAAAAAAATGTTTCTTTTAGATATGAAATGTCTATTCTATTCCGTTAAAAATCAATTGATAGCATTCGTTAACTTAAGAACAATCAGTATAAAAGTAATACTTTATTTGATTAAAGAGTATCTAATGTAATTTTTCAATTAAGATCCCAAGAAACTTCATTTAAATACTTAACTTGTTATTTTTTTGGTAGATCTTATAAATTTTTTGAGTTAAAATTTGTTTCGATTATATTATATGATGAACATAGAACTAAATACCTTTATAATCCTGTTAAAATCGATTTTATATACGATATCATTATAAATTTCGATATTCAAACGATTTATCGTTATTATGAAGTAACAAACGTATGTATATCCTACCAATCTCATATGTAATATAACAAACAAAATTATATTTGAATTTCTATATAATCATAAAAATTGACTTTTAACTTTCAAATGTAGTATATTTTATTTGAAGTTTTTCATATATATAAATATATTTCTAAGTATCGCTTACGTCAACATATTTCTTTATTGTACATTGAAGAATATTTGGTTTCATTATTGTCCATTGACAGTGGATATAAATCAAAGAGGCAAAAAAGTAATAATATAAAAGGAAAGCAAAGAAATAAAATCTAATAGGATAGGTGAATAATGAAAGAAAGATACAAACGAAAGAATATCGTCCATCAATCATTATTTTATCTTGTCACATAATTTATATCTTTGCAATTATATTCGAAGGACCAATTACACAAATAAAAAAGCAATAATAAATAACAAAAAATGCACGCGAATAATAGAGGCAAATAAAGAAAGGACAGTACTTATGTCATTGTATTATTGACCAGAAGGAAAAGAATATAAAAAGTATTACTTTGTAGAATATCATCTCAATACATCATGTACATCTTTTTTTTTTGTTATTTTCACATTATACCATAATCAGTTGAAGATAATATTTCTATCGATATTAAACTATAATCGAAGTATAATAAGAAAAAAATATTTATTTTAATTATAAATATAATCTACAAATGATTTTTCTATTACAGTAGAAAAATGTAGTTTCTTTTACTAGAATAGTATTTTTCCGGTTTGAGTTCTTTTACAAATAAAATCGAATAAAGAGAAAGAAATTGACTTCAATTATAAATATAAATTAAAATAGGATTATTGTATCACTGTGAAAAAATACAACTAGAATAGAGTTACTATTTGAATTATTATATTTTTTATAGGAGTTGTTCTTAAGCAGTGGTATGATAGATGAAAAAAATAATTTGTTTATTTTATAGTTATATTTTAGATTAATATTGTACTACAACTATAGCAAAAATCGAAACAAATCGTTGACTTTTTTACTTTAATCTTTTAAAGTTATATTCGAAATAAATCTATTCAGTTGAATCTTTGTTTGTATTTATATTAAAATTATTCGACTATTATTATTTTTATGAAACGATTAAAAAAAATGATTATTTATTTATTCATGATTAATAACAATATATGAGAGATAGTTGTTTAAAATAATCTAATAGTACTATATGATGACTCATTATAGATATTTTAGTTGAAATTTCTTTCATCTTAGTTCATGTCTATTCATCACTTTGGAATTTGTCTTATGTAGTACTGATAACCTTTTGATAAGCAAACAAATTATATAGTTTTATTCATTTTATTCTATACCTTGTCCTATTAGTTTTAAAATAATTTTTGCAGTTTGTATCGTTAATTAATCACCATTCTATATATCAGATATATAAAAATAATTCAACTATCAATAATAATAAAAATAATCACGTTTAGGAAATTTAACTAAAGTATTGTTTTCAGTTGGCATTTATCATACATGATTATATTTAATTCTAACTAGCTGAAATCTTAAACTTTAGAGTATTTAAATAATTACGAAATTCAATGGATTTGATATGTTAAGACTTGTTTGTAATCATTTAAATAAGAAAACTCGCTAACTAGAGTTTTATTTACAAAGAAAACAATAATAAACTTTGAATTAAAATATTGTCGTATATAGTTACTCACTGATCAACAAGGCTAACATGAAATATTAATCATAAATAGCTTTTGAATAGAAGCAATAATTGAACATGACGATATATATTTAGAGTGATAAATTATCAGTAAATTTCGTTGAATTTTTATATATACGTATATATTTTGTTCTCTTAACTCATTTCTTTGTCTATTCTGAGTAATTTATTTACATTGAATTTTGAATTAATCGCTATATCAGAATATATCTTAATAGGAATAGATCACGTTAAATATATGAATTTATTATCAAGAACGTATCTCTCAACCGAGATAATTTAGATGATATACATATAGATCCAAACTCAACATAACTTGATTGAGTGAATTTAAAATATGGAATAATAGTTCATTCAATATATTTATTCTCTTTTTTCAATCTAGTACAAAAGATTAAGAAATATTAGATTTATGCAAATGTATTTCATGTGTATCTCTTACGGGTTATTTCGTTGAAAGATATAAAAAAAAGTAATAGCTTGCTTATTTATACTAGTCAGTTTTTTTCATTCTGTTACATTAGCACACTATTAATAAAAGGTAAGGTTTTATCTCTTATAGACAACGTGCCAGTGTAACAGAACGAAATGAAAAGCAAAAACACGTTATTTTGTGTTGATAATCAGTTTATAGATAGTTTAAAAGTTTTACTCCTACTTTGAAATAAAATAAAATAAAATAAAATAATCGAGGAATAAGTATACTTTACAATTAGTTTATTATATTATATCTCGTTGAATAATATAGAAATTAAATAAATATATATTTAATTAAAAGATTGTCTATAGTCTATCTGCAGATTGTTCATACATTGAAATGTTATTCAATACAAAATTTATATGAGATTCTACTATTTTTTCATGTACTTTAATCAATCAGCGGACATTAAACGATTATTCTATTCGTTAGTTAATGTATAGGTGAAAAAGAAAAAAAAAATATTATAGATTGTATTGCATGATGGTATAAATACGAACAAACACACATAAATATCGATAAATTTCATCTGATTTTTTTCCTTTATCAAGGTAATCTATATTAATGAAAAGCTTTTTCTTTTATAGAATTTTTTTTTATTGAAAATTTCAACAAAAATAATTGTATATGT